CTCCTCCTTTCCCTCTCTCTCCATCTCCCTTCCTCCTCTCTCCCTCTCCCTTACCTTTATGTGAATCGGCTTGCTTTAATTTAATTTTTATTAATTTTTATTTGAATTTTTCGATCTTTTTCGTCGCGCTGTGATGACGTCAAAGGCGCGATTTTGTCGATCGCGCTTTTGCCGTCCGCGCTTTTGACGGGTCACGGGAGTTGCTATTAGTTATTTGCTTGTTTTGCATGTAATGTTATACTTTGCTTGTAAATGATGATGATAAATACTCTTGAGCTGAAGAGTCACTGATACTTTATTGGAACATGGAAATGGCTTGTTATGACCTTCTTCTTTAGGCTATATCTTTAGAATTGCTTGGTAATCTCCAATGCAGTATTCATAGGTCCAGCTCTTCTTGGATTTTAAAGGTTGGTCAGCCAAAATCAAGTATATATTGCTACTACTTCCTATAAGGTGATTATATGTGTCTATAAATAAGATTTTGATTCCTGGCAACTGTCTGGACAAATCTCCAGTTTTCTTGACAAGGTTTTCACAAGGTTGCCCTTGCCTCTTTCCAAGGGCTGAGAGAATTCAGAATGATTATCACCTATAAAACTCTTTACAGCTGTAAAGAGTACAGCTGTATTAGGCATCACTTTCAAGATTAACTCTGCCCAACCAGTGATATCTTGCTGAGAGGTACACTACCCCCACCCCCCAAAAAATGTTTAACAGGATGTGAATGAAGCAGATCTTTCCTCTCAGGGGCTACTTCTCTGGAGCTCTGTACCCAGTCTTATAGTACCTTATAAAAGCTAGGAGGGAGAAGCTATCAAAACCTCGTCCCCCAGGCTTTCATCTTCAGATGAATGTTTTACAGAATCTGTTATTTTTCCTCAATTTTAACTGATATTTATACTGTTATATGGCTGCCTGGAATCTCAAGGTTGGATGGGCTATAAAATTTATAAAACATAAATCAGACTGAAATAGTTTGAAAGCACTCAGGGACACTGAATAGTTAACAGTTTCAAGATTTTATTGGTGCATGGTGGCATGGAAAGCAGATTCCAAACTGTTCTACTTGCTATAATTTACAACTTCACATGCAAAATTTTAAAAGTACATCAGGTGCTTATCAAGTATTTAGAAGAAGCACCATCATAAATAAAATTTTGATGGAGAGTAAACTCTTACCAGCAGAACAGTTAGTGAATCACAGCAAAACAAGAAATGTAGAAAAGAGCACAACATTTAAGACTACCTCACATTGTAGAAATCTTTCTAAGTACACTTCAGTTCTATTCCCCTTAGTTTGAATGATTTGCAGATTGGTTAAAACAAATTTTCTCTCTGCTACATCAGAGGTTAATGACACCCATAATATGAACTTCAGACCAATGACTGTCCTGAGTAATCTTTAAGCCTTTTAAAGAAGAGTTATGAGTTTACTTTATATCACAGAGAAGCTTTACTGCTACAATATATAAAGCAGCTATCTTCTACATTTTCTAGATTTATGAATTTAGTTTAACATGGAAAGTTATAGTTAAATTTACATTATGGGTAGCATTATACACTTTTAAAAACCTAGATCAAAGCAGAGATGTAGGGAAGTTTTATCAAGATTTTATCTGGTCCAATCTAGACTTTTTGTTGAAGCAGCTTTTCAATGTCATCCTTCATCTTGATAGTTTCAAATTTTCTGCTGTATCGTTTGAAAGGCACCCCATCACGACCAATGAGAAACTTTTCAAAATTCCATGCGATGTCACTGCGGCACACAGGAGACCAAATTATGAACTTTGGATCGGTCATCAGAGACACAGGATCATCATGTGGGACAGGCAATGATTCTTTCAGGAACTTGAAGAGAGGATGAGCTTTTTCCCCATTGACTTCACACTTCTCAAACACAGGGAAGTTGGGCACATAGCCATTGCCTGGACGGACATATTTCAGGGAATTCAGGATCTCTTCATTGGTGGCATTTTCCTGTAACAAGGCAGAAAGGCATATGATTTACATCCAGACATGATCACTATAGCATTAGCAGAGCTGCCAATTGTTTCACAATACAGCCACCTTTTTCTTCTATTAATAGCTATGCTGCAGTGCAAATATTTTTACCCAGAAAATATCAATTATTTCACCTACAAGTGCTTTTTTCAAAATTTTATCTGTTATGGTAGTTATGCAGCTTCTGAAAACTGGTGCACAGAAACAATGTTTCAGTTAGTGATTCTGCCTAATGCAATTGAATTACCCAGTACTAACTCCTTATACACACTTATAGAAAAACTATCAAGCCAAGTAATTTGCTCCAGTGATACAAGTGATGTTGCTAAGTATTAACTTCACTAACACATGACTTTCCTCTATCCTTACTAGCTGCATCGCTCCTATTAATGTACTTTCACATCTTAGATCCTATTTTTGCAGTGATGTGTCATTTTTTTTTGTTATAAATCCTCCTACATGCTCCTCTTAGTGCAGCTACAAGAAATCTTTACTGAGAATTTCCACAGGCAAGTTGCAGAAAGTAGCACAATTTAGCACTGGAATAATTTAGGTTGGAATCTTTGGGTTACAGTTCGCTTCTGAAGAGTTATAAACTTATTCAAGTTTGATATCTCTCATCGTTTGCGAAGCATATATTTAATTGCTGGTTAGGCTGCTCGTCACTGTACCTGCCTCATTCCAGTCCAAAAGAAGAACCTGCATATATCAAACCTAGATATTAGTAGTTTAAAGTTACATTGTTATCTCATAGAAAGAACTGATTTGCAAACAGTTTTTTTCTCTTCTCTAATTCAAATAATTGGTAACTTCTATAAATCTTGTTACCCCAGACCAACTTGAAGAAGCCTAAATTCTACAAAACCATTTTCCCCTAGAGAATTTGTACAATAGGAAAGATTGTAAAAATGACTAGACCCTCCATTGCATAACTTCAGAGTAATTATCCTAATAGGGAAAGCAAGGCAATTGTGCAATAACACTTGGTTTATGTCTTTTTCTCCGGAGTGTAAAGCAGTTCTCCAAGGCACCCACTCTGAATTGTTGCGCATTATTTCCTGTTGGGACTTCAATGCATCACAGAGAATAAGTCACACACACACCCTTCCCCACCATACAACTCCCACGCCCTGAGAGGACCTTAAGGACGAGCCTTTCCAAGAGAAGCTAAGACAACGGAGCCCCCAGTTCCAATATCTGCGTAAATTTACCGGTGGGTTTAGTTATTTCTATCCGAGGGCTTTGATTACCCTCAGCCGGTCAGAACCTTCTGGAAACACGGAAGTAATTTAAAAAAAAACCATCTTCAAACTGTTGTACTTTTCTAACATCTCCAAACAGGCCATATAGTCTTGTTTGCAGCTAGGAATGTTTTAAGGAGCCTACACTCCCGCTCCTAAAGCGAGCCTCTACAAGCCTAGGATTACGACCATTCACGCAACCTTCGTTCCGCTCAACTTTCAAAAACTGCTCCACAATGAAAGGTCTATGGAGATTCTCAGTCATCCAAGCTCTCTTCTTCAGCTCTCATCCAAGAAGCTTCTTTAGCTGAGAGCTGAAGAAGCTTCTTGGATGAGAAGCGAAAGGTCTTCAAAGAAAAACCAGAAAGACCAGTTGGCTCTTGAGAGAAATAATAAAGCACCTTTGGGACTCCATAGTGAAGGAGCTCCGAGGCTGCCTTTTTTTCACCAACAGCGGAACGAGCTCTTCCGCCCCCAAGGCTTGTCACCCGCGGATACCTTACCTGGTGACCAAACTGGTTAGAGGGGAAAGCGAGGACGGTGAGTCCTTTAGACCCGAAACGTTCCTGCAGTTCACGGAACTGAGTGAAGTCCCGGGTCGTTGTGCCTCAGAGCGAAGCCACGTTGGCAACCAGCAACACCTTTCCCTGCAGCGAGCCCAGATCAATGGGCTCCGAAGTCCCTAGCTGGAGCGCCTTCATGCCGGCCAGCGTATATCTCGAGACACCAGCCATTGCAACGATACGGGAGGACCAGCAAGAACTGCGCGGGCAACGCGCAATTTTGCCTCGTTTAAAAGCACAGCGTCGGCTCCACCCCGCTCCTTTCTCCCAATTCGAAGCGGCTGCGGCCACTTTAAGCTACTCCTCCCGCTACGAGAACGCCAGGCATGCGCGGTTCCCATTATTTGCAAAGAGATGATGGAAAGGAGCTGTTGTGTTCTTGCGGTCGGTGGTGCTTTGGTTTAAATTAATCAAAACATTGAAAGAGGCCTAGTCTTAAGTTTTCATAAAGGAAACGGCCATTTTATTACTTGCCAAGTGAGATCATACGGTAAACAGTACTTTCCCAGCCCCCTTTTGTCATAAAAAGGATAAGAAAAAAAAAAGGGCCAAGGATAGTCACGTAGCCTGAAAACCCTTGGGACAAGTGCCAACTTCTCGGCGCTCCTTTCTCGGGAAAGGTCGTTGCAAGGTCGATTAGCAAATCCCAGCAGCAGATTACTACTATACAGGAGTCTGAAAGCGATGCTAGGACCCTTCACTAGTTGCTAATTTGCTTCCAGGGACAATCCAGCTCCTGGCACTTTTATCCTTAAAGCCGTAAATATTTGATGGGGGCAGAGGCTGGAAGGATTCAGATTTCAAGGGTCAAAAAATGCAGAAATATCTAAAACGCAATTTACTTTTTTAAAAACGTTTTTGCCTTTGTGACATACCTGGCTTATATAAGTGGGACTTGCTATGGGCTTTGGTAATGTAGAGGTCAGAAATTTGTTTGCTCAGACTTTTTGAGTTTGTAAATTGCACTACACTATACCTTAACCATGATGTATGAAGAAACCACATTTCACTGGATTCACTATAGTTAAAGACTGTTTGTTGTGAGGATACAATTGAAGGAGGAAATACTGGGCATGGCACCCTGAACTCTTAAGAAAAAAGGAAGAATTGTGTGTGTGTATCTTGTTTTATATATATAACAAGCATAAACTACAGTGGCTTAGGACAATGTGCTAAGCCAAACACCATGTTATATCTTAATGCAGTGCACGAATCCCTCTTTTTTCACAACCCTTCCTTCTGGTTGTATTTTATTGCCTTTTAATATTGTTTATTATTGCATTCTATTATTTTAAGATATGTTTGTTACATTAATTATATTGAGTTCTGATACATTATAAAGTTATGTATACATTACATAAAAATATGTAAAGGTTTTGTGGAACAACTGTCAGCCACTTCATCTTTTAGAGTCACTCAGTTTAGTTCACTCTGGATTATACTCCATCTTAATCATACTTTGGATTCAGGCAGACATATCAGACCAAACCTTACCATTCTTTTTCTGACAATCGTTGCACTGCTTTAAGAAATCTACAGGCTTACAGCATGTGTTAATTGGCGATGATGGTTACGGTCAATTGGGTTGCATTGGAACTGCAATCCTTCACTCACTATGCTTTGCTAGATACCTATCTGCCATAAGTCATGGAGTGAGGGAGCAATGGGGAGATAGAGAAATTGAAAGGGATCTTCGTCCTGTCCTGATACATCCCAAGATCCTGGGAATGGAATCTAATTCCTGTCCATCTGCCTAACCGGTGCAGGGACAGTTAGCAAAACATTATCTTTGAATGTGACTGGAAAATTCTGTTCTGGGGTGGAACATAGAAAGGAAAATTAACTAGGGAATATTCACATGCAGATTCTTAGAACTGGCTTTGCTCCTGTAACCACTTGGCTATTAGTAAAAGTAACCTTTTCACTACCAATACAGTTGAGAGAATTTCTTTCCTAAGTCAACAAGTTGGGCCAGGCCTGGCAGGTTGTGTGCTACCTGAAGAAGCTGTTTTGTGACTTGGGATCCTGACTCCTACTTGAAGATGAGGCAGAGGTTGTATCTATCTTCAGTTAACACATCAGTTATGGCCTTACTTGGACAACAAAATCAGGGCAATGTTAACTCATGAACCCTATATGACAGGACTAATGCAGTGTGTTGTATATGGATTTGCTTTTTAAGGTGACTAGGCTGCTGCAGGTGGTCAGAATGAGACAGACCTATAATAGTAGAGTTACTATTACTACTAGTAACTACTAGTAGTACTACTCTACTAGTAGAGTTACTATCATGTTATATTTACTGCATTGATTACCAGTAGCTTCTGAGCCCAATTAAAAATGCTGGTCATCACCTATAAAAGCTTGTCTGCTGTGTTGCTGTGTTATATTAGGAGCTACCTCCTCAAATTGGAATCTCCCTCTTGGGATAGCAATCAAGAACAGGGTGTGTGGAAGGTCCCATGTGAAATAGGGTGTGGACCAGAAGTCAGGCCTTTTCTGTTGCTGCCCCTGCATTTTGGCTATGCTTTCCTAAGAGCATTGGTCTTCAAATTGTGATATGGAGACTCATGGGTTTGTATGTGTCCCTAAGCCCCTGTTACAGGATCTGCAGAGTTAACATTTAAAAATTTCTCATTTTTAAGTTCTAATGCATAGACATAGATATAACTCACATAAATGAAATCTCTTGGGGGTTCTGTCATTTTTATGAATATAAAGAACTAAACTGTTAGCCTAGAGCAGGGTTCTCTGACCTTTCCAGCTTTGTGGACTGTCCAGGAAGAGGAAAGTGGGAATGGTTCTGCACAAATGGGGGGCAAGTGCACACACAGACACAGCTCAATTTGTGTGAGCAGCAGACACGCATGCCTGCTGCTCATGCAAGTGGGGATGTGCATACACACATGCACACCCGCACTTCTGCAGCCTGGTTCCGAAGGGCTGAAAGCCTGATAGTAGGCCACAGCCTGGGTGTTGGGGACTCCTGCCCTAAAGGAACTTATGTACCCCTCGGAAGGTATTTAAGACAGTTACTTAAGCAACCACCTTGTTTTCCTTATGTAAAGACCTTGTTTTTAATTGTACCGTATGCTGTTCTGCATCTCAGAAAATTGCTGCTCTTTAAGACTATTGCAAAATAAATATATTAATAAATGAATAGGGTCCCCCATCAACTCCTGCATGATGGAACAGCCTGATATGTCTGATGTTGTAGGAGGAGTGGCAGAACGTGGGGGCAGAGTTAATAGAAGGCTCAGCCTTGAATCCCTATGTAGCCATAAGCAGATTAAGTTCAACCCAGGTTTTACTTCTGTTAACCCATATATAACTTCAAGCAGGTGGTAACTGTTAAAGTTAAGATTCTTGTATATTGACTTTTTAGCAATAAATCAGTTTAATTTGGACCTTCACATGTGGACCTGATTTTTTTTGCCTCTGACAGATGTGGAATCCTCCAGGTTGAGCTCAATTTCTTCTAATTACATGGACAGACCCATCTGGTCTTTTCTTGGGTATATGGTGGAGGTGACTCGCCATTGCTTTCTGGTGGGATGTTTTTCCAACTTCCAAGTCTAATGTATGAGACTTGGGCTTTTTAATGGGTGATCTCCTGTTCAAATATTAAGCCCATCCAACCTGGGTTCCCTTCTAGATAATAGTTCACCATGTTGTAACATTTGTAGTAACATTTTTTTAGAAAAAGAGGCAGATTGGAAGATGTTTCTCAGCAAGGCGAACATAAATGTACTTCCCTTAACAAGTTTTGGGAGTTTCCCTTTATTGTGTTAGCATAGAGTTGGGTAACATTTTTATATATAACTTTTTCCTGCACCATTGCAGGATTTGTAGCTGAAATTATATATATTAGTATATTATATTATTTAATATTGATTTTTATTCCACCTTTATCTGTAACTCAAGGCAACAAACATACTTAATACTCCTTCCTTCTCCTGTTTTCCCTACAACAATCACCCTGTGAGGTGAGTTGGGCTGAGACAAAGTGCCTGGATGAAGGTCACCCAACCAGCTTTCATGCCTAAGGCAGGATGAGAGCTCACTGGTGTTTAGACCAACACTCTTTTGCTGTATTTATTTATTTAGAAAATTTATACTGCCACCCACTTGCACATGAAGATTCAAGGTGGCTTAGAAGGACATAAAAACAATATATATATATAAAAAGGAAAATAGTAAGAAAATAATAATAAAATAATAACCCCCTGCCCGGCAACAACACACATTTATATTAGCCATTCAATGGGCTCCATCCTGCTGTGTGTTGCCTAGGCCTTCTGGCAGAACCACATCTTCAGGGCCTTCTAAAAGAGTATTAGAGGGGGGCAGTCTAATCTCCAGGAGGAGGATGTTCCAGAGAGGGAGCCACCACGGAGAAGGCCCTTCTGCTGGGTCCTACCAGATGTATCTCCTTGGGGACCGGACCCATAGCATTCCTTGCTTCCCGCTCTAGTGGATCAGGTAGATGTGACCGGCTAAAATATCTTGCTTCACAATGGGAGGTAATTCTGTGGCCAGTATTCGGCAGGTACAATTAGAAGGCATTTCAGGATCCTAAAATAAAGCTTTGGATCATCCTTGGACTAACCCCTCCTCTCACAGGTCAGAGTTTGAGAAATAACTGTTTTTCAGACTTAGCAACTTTAAGATGTGTAGACTACAATTCCCAGAATTCCCCAGCCAATATGGAGCAAGGTGGAGATGCGGTACTACACAGGATTTTAAGTTTGACGTAGATGTGTTTTATTTGTGAAAAAAATTGCAAAGTGGGTTATGGATTATGGATAAACATGGTTGATCTTACTGTCCAAAGCAGGATTCGTGCAATAATTGCCACCTGACATGCCACTGAAGTCCTAGGCCATCTTTGCTTTGCAGTAGAGGAAGTAGTAAAGATAGCTAAGAAGTGGTACAGGTAGACCTCAAGTTACAACCAAAACTGAGTCCCAAATTTATGTTGTTAAGTGAAACATTTGTTAAGTGAGTTTGCCCCCATTTTACAACTTTTCTTGCTACAGTTGTTAAGTGAATTTGTTAAGTTAGTAATATGGTTGTTTAGTGAATCTGGATTCCCCATTGACTTTGCTTGTCAGAAGGTCATAAAAGCGGATCACATGACTCCAGACACTGCAACTGTCATAAATATGAATCACTTGCCAAGCATCTGAATTTTGATTACCGTATTTTTCGCTCCATAAGACGCACTTGTTTGT